TTACGGCATGCACGACTATGAGTACCCCCCCCCCCCCACAACCGCCATGGCACTCCCACGATTTTTCGATAAGGTGCGTTTTTTGTGTCCTCCTTCGCCAAACCTCCCGTTCGCATTCTGCCAGAGACCCTTGCGCTACTGTGTAGGTTTAAATCGGGCCGTATTTATGGCTCATGGGCTCATGAAGGTTCACCGAAATGAAGCAGGAAGGGCGGGGAAAAGAGGGAGCATACCAAGATCCGGACCATTGGACACTAGTCTCGATCAACACAGCACTGGTGTGTTGACAGTTATGATTACTTAGAGAATTTTCTGGCCGCAGACTGCGCATGGTGCACTCTCCGGCTATTGTGGTCAGACGGTCGGTTCGAAACATTCCTGACCCTTGTTGGACCACCATCAACATCCCCAACTACCTTGTTTCCGCTGATATACTGGCAGAGCTACGTTGCTTCTCCTCCCTAATGAAAAATAAAAGAAAGTAGCTAATGCGTTTCCTAGCATTTCGCTGAGGCAACCTAGAAAGATGGTGCAGCCAACAGAGTATCTTTGTGCCAGGCGCCACAATGCAATACCCATACCCCAGTGACGTCCATCAAATTAACTTTGCTTCTTCACACACTTTTTGTGGGCCCATATCGTATTCAAGCTGACTTTGAAGCTGACATACAGCGGCTCGTGTTTCGTTTGCTGTGATTTCCGCCCGCTTCGGGGCTTGCGGCACACGCGTATATCGCACGTTACACGCAAAAATTCCAACCTTAGCTTTGCCATTTGCCATAACTAAAATCAAACCTCGACCTACGCTTGTAGTTCCAACAGCTACACTAGCTGCACAGGCCGTTTAGGGGGTGCACAGCACGTTCAATATGCCGCCTTTGCTTGCCTGCTTGACCACGGTGCTCTTTCCCGACTCTCCTGCACCCAGGAGTAACACCTTGACGTGCCGCTGATCTGCTAAGGCGAGGTCCTCTAGCTGCTTGTCCACCGCATTTGTCTGTAGAAATCAAGAGAAGGAGAGTGCCGAAACCTTAAGTGGACACATATCGCTCCGTTGATGAAGCAAAGCGTTTTCCGCGACTTGTTTGAGGGAATGATGCCCCTTACTGCCTGTTGCACGATCCATGTCTCTGTTCGCTGGTACGACTTCAACAATAGACCTGGGAATATTAACTGCTGCTGTTGTTGTCTTCTCTAAACCAATGTAGAGAAATCCACGTTTGATGTTTGGTGTCAGCTACGTCAAACCAAGCAAGCTGTAACATACTGTAGACTATGTACTGTAGAGACGATAATAGTCTAGAACTAACGCCAACCAGTCGATGCACACGGTGTTTGGTTTACTCACCGCAGCATCGGCGTCCATTATCCGAATTGAGTTGACGCATCCCATGGTAGTCTTCGCGCCACCCCCTCTCCGCGGGCGCGGAACAGCTCCACTGTTGCTGTTATACGAGCGTTTGCGACAGGTGGGCCACCGATCGCCCCAACTAAGCCGCTCCCGTCGAGCTACCAGCACGCGTGCCCCTCGATACACACACGTGCTGGTTGATGAAGAACAACTTCCCGAAGGTTGGCGGTGTGTGGTTGGTATCGGTGCTTGTGGTGGAGCTGTACGTGAGAGCCCGGAGATGGATTGACTGGTACGAAAGGCCCCTCTCCCTTTGATGTGCCCGAAACACGCCCGCCCGCAGCTTCCAAGAAGTGTAGTACGTGTTGAGCAAGAGTGGTCAGGTTGAGCGCGCGGTGTACATATATTGGAGTCTTTAGAAACAGGGGGGGGGTAGCGCCCACGAAACTGCTGTGAGGACTAGGCTTTGGAGTGCTATAAGGAGCGATGTTGCGGGGTGTATAGAAGCACTCTTTGATTAATTTGCAGCATCTTGACGTGTCGAGAATAGCATGTGCTTTCCCACCTACCAGTGTACAGACGTGTAGCCTGCTGTAAAGGCGTGCCCCTTTGCTGGTTAATACCCCAACGTGAAGCGAGACACGTGTCCAGACAAGGTCAACACGGTGTGCCGTAGGGTATGCCGTGAGCGAAAGCCTTTTCTATCCAGTCCGCCCACGGAACGAACGTACACCCATCCAAGCGTCGGCACGCTTCGCGGGGCACAATTGTCGCGACGACGCAACAAACTCACCTGTATTTTCACCAACCCTCAGAGCTGATTGGATTCAAACGTGTGTCTGGCGTTGCCATCGGAGCACCGAGCGTTTACTTCGTCGGCCCCCCCACACACCACGCTTTCTTCGGCCTCTTGCAGCTCCGTTGTGCGTATCTCCCTTCGCGCAAGACCTGCAGCGCGCGTCGACGATCACACGCTCTGTAAGTTACGTTTCGAAAGCGGTGTAACAAACGAAACAAATGCGGCGAAATGCCTGCCGTTTCCACTCTGTCTCAGGTCTCAGGGACATTAGTTTCTGCCGGCTCCATGAGGCTCCATGACCCACGCGATATGCAGCAGAAATATTCTACAGGGTGATTGGTTGTTGTTATTCCGGCAAGGAGATGGCAGCTACAGCTCCCGCTTGGGAAGACGATTATTCCCCTGCCTCATCTAAGCCGAGCATTGTCGATCAAGGACAACGAACCGCGACAGCGGCGGAACTTGACCCGACAAACGAAGAGAACGATCTTGATCTATCCAAGCCGACCCTTGCAGCCGCAGTCATTCGAGACGCAGAGCACCGATGTTTGCAGCAGGTGAGCTAGAAAATACCGGGAATGTTGTTCCTTATGTAAAGTACTCGAGCCATTGTGACCCTTTCTCAGGACAAGGAACATTATGCATCGTGAACCGTTGACGGAACTCGCTTTCAACACGAAGCAAGCACGGCCCAACAGGAGACACAGAAACACGCACGTCATTTGAATAGTCCACCCCGACAACCGGTGTCAGCCATTGGTCAACGATAGGAACTCTACAAACTAGGGTTTCAAAGCGCAGTGCTTCTTTGTTGCGTATGCCCTAAAAAAAGGGCTGCGACATGGGGGAGACTACGCGCCGCCAAAGCGACATGGTGTTATGTATTTATACGGCCGAGAAGGACCCCCCGCACAACATGCTGGTAGTTGCGGACGAGTTTGTACACAGAAATATTCGCAGTTGTTACCGACGCCAATCGGTGCAAACACCAACTAATTGTAGAATGTCATAGAATCTCGCCTTGCAAAGCTTTGCTTCATCATACGACCGCGGTAATGCCTCTGCCGACCAGCTTTCCATCCGTTCGTCCCTGGGACCAACTCCAGTCTACTTGGTAAACGGCTGATGCACTCATCAGTGTGTAGTTCTCACTTAAAGCCTTCCCGTGCAAACCTTGTTGATTGGTCCCAAGCCTGGTGCTGCTGGGCAAGCACGGTTGACGCAATTGACAAGCGTGGGTAAAGTCGTATATTTGGTTGCCCCGTGCAGACAAGCAACAGGAAAGGGGTACCATGGTGTGACGACATCTGACGCGAGTTCAGTGTGGAGCTAGTCCGACCACTGTGTGCAGGTTAGAGCCCCTTCGCTTCTTCAGTCCGTTTCCTTCCTTATCCTTCCTTCCTCTCGCAGTCGCTCGCTCCCACTCACTCCTAGGCAACACTGAGCGACGGGGAACGATTGCACATCGATTGCAGTTGCTACTAACCATTGACCGCTATCTGTCTATTGTCGAGATACCAGGAATATGGGCAGGTGGTCGGGATGCTCCTGAAAGATATACCCGCCCACATGGCATCATAGTCCAAGGGTCCAAACACCATAAGAATATGCACCACAAGCATCAAGGCACTCAAGCAACAGTCGCAAGAAATTCACCGCCGTAAGACCCATTCGGAACTCGGAACACATCCAACTTGCCAATGATACGTCAGGAGATACCCCGAAGATCCACGTCCGTGGAACGACCACGTGCACGTTTTATAGTTTCTCAAAAATTTCACATATGTACTACCGCAGCAGCCTTGGTAAAGATGACATAATCCACCTCACGAACAAGCCTCGTGATTTGTGACAGGACTTCACCGTTATCGCGAAGATAATTCCTCCTTATCGATTCCATGAATGGAGCCGACCGTGGGTTCTAGGATGGCATCACACTTGACTACAGAAATGTGGTGTGGATGTACATAGTGAAAATGCTCTTCACCGCAAGTTGTGATTGAAATCGTCCGGACTTTCTCTGTAGTTCGAGTTTTTCATCCGTTAAAATTTACTACAATCATACGATGTTCATAAAGTGCACAGGACCACACGCTATCCAGAGTATTCAATGTATCCAAAGCTTCTGCCACCTGTCTGGGTTCGTCACCATTACGAAAGATATACAACTCTCGTGACACTTCCACAATAGAGCACCGTACACGTAAATCGATGCCCTGAAACTTTGTCTCACGGCTTGTCTCTTGCGGGTTTCCGCTGCGCAGCGGGAAAGAACCAGCCAAGCAATGGAAAGAGCGTTGGCCGAAGTGGTGAAAGCCGAGCGTGCGGCGAAAGCCGAGACAGTGAGGCACCAGCTCCGCGACCTTCAAGACAACGAAAATGATGGTCAGGATCATCGAGGGAAGGATTGGACGTAAGTATCACTCAGCAGGTTGTATGTGTCTTGCCATGTATCGCTGTGCGCCCTCTGGTTGTGGCGGTTTTTGTCTTCGAAAACACTTATCCCGTACACTGCGCTTCCCAATATATGTAGCTCTTTCTCACAACAACACTACAATCTACGTCGCACTAAATCTGGGGATCGCATGCTCCGAACGGTAACAACCATCCACCCTCATAACCGCACGATATCCCTGAAACCCGAAACATATCAGGCCGCATACGCGAGTTGGGCATCGGAACTCATGGGCCCGTCAGGCGAAGGTCGGGCGGGCCACGGGACCAATCAGGTCCCCCGCATGGGCGAAAGACTTTCACGAGATGAAGCGCCGCGCATCATGGGCTTCCGCGCTAGAGATCACGATGGAATACGAGGTACCCCCAATCCTTCCCGAGGTGCCCCTCGAGCCCCCGCCGGTTCCTGTGAGAAGGGGCACGATAGTATCTGCTGTGTTGGCCGCGGTGGCCGAATCTCCGTCTTCACCCCCTTCGACAAGCTCCGAACGAAAAGGTGTGTTGGGATGTCGGAGACCTGATCTAGTGGTTTCAACATCCAGTTCGCAGGAAGTACACAGCAACAACTTCGTTTCCTTTGCTTCAACACCCTATCTTAAGTCGGCGGACAGCGCAGGGCAGTACTGAAAGCTTCGTAAGACATTGTTGGACGACATACCGTTGGCAATAGGCTGATGAGATCAGCGAAACCCACCTGAACCCCGCGCTTCCACCCTCTCCAACTACATCCTCGCTTGACGTTGAGGGCACCTGTTGGGAAAAAAATTGTTTGTAGTTCGAATGCTACCAACAGATGAAGGTTTTCGAGACCATCATGTCGGGGAACTTGACAGCCAAGTCACTCACTAGCGGAGTAACTTATGGTGCAGCTTCAACCCTCCTCTCTCGAGAGCGATGCATCGCAACTACGGAAGAATACGATGATGAACTCTGACATCATTTCGTTTTATCCGATCTGCATGGTAGGCAAAACGGGGAATTCGGGGCCGGTTCTCGACGACGACTGGGTGGTGCGAAAGTTTGCCCAGATACGAAGGCGCTCTAGGAGCATCGATTCCGCCATTGGGGATATTTCGGGGTCGCACAAGCAAGCGCAACCCTCAGCGCCGGTTGTCGACGCCAGGAAAATAAGTCCGAACACCCATCCGATGCGGATCGGGGGTATGGTGACACTTGAACCCCTCCTTCAGCGAGACACGACGGACGCTGATGATGCCGGAAGCCTGTCCACCGACCGCGGCGTTTTACCGCATCTTACGCAGGGTGGGGAGACACTGTGCCCGCTACCTATGACCTCAAAAGAATATCAAGGCCGGCACCATGATGCCATCCATCAAACCACGGTCGACGACATTGTTGCTGCTCAAGCGGATCCCCAAGGCAGTCTTCTCCCGCCGACAAACCAAGATGAAACAAATGAAGACGCACCGCTCGAACCACCCGGAACTCCCTTCGTAGGAGCAGAGAATTTCCAAGCGTGGCCTCACGTTCTGCCATCACCTCGAGAAGGGCAACACGGGACCAGCGCCCAAGCAGCGATCTGCGAAGAAGATCGCCCTCCTGTCGCCCAGCGAGCGACGCACGAAGAGCGACTGCAACAAGAAGGGAAACTTTTCGACGTTTCACCCGAAGAGAGGGCGCTGTCCCTCCCAAGCAGCAGCCTCGTCGCTGATGATGGGAGCGGCGAGCTCAACCCTCTCGGCCGCAGTGCCCTGTGGGACGCGCGCGGGCCTGTGTCGGCAGGAGGCGGTCGAGGCACGGGTCTACGCGGACGATGTGGCCAGGGTGGTGCCGTGGGCGCTAAAGGGGGGACGATGTGGTCCAGATGGTGCGTGCTCGTGATAGATTGCATGTACATCGGTCAGTGCTGTGTACAATTCGGTACTCGCGCCGAGAATCCCCTTCGTACCACGCCCAAATTGGCGCGTTTGGTCAGGCTCGAGAATGGTCGCGTTCACGTCGACGCCGAATCTGACCTTATCAAAAACAAAAAATTCCTGGGACTGCTGCAGTCGAAACCACGTTGAACATGCTCGTCCTTCCTCATTGCTGATTAACGGACGTTGACATCGAAAGTGCCGCTGCTGATCGTAAAGGTAAGGCAGCAAGGACTCTAAGCTCACACTGGCCAACGGCTTTGAACACTTGGTCAGAACGATTTCATATGTATGTTGCTGGTGCGGGTGTGATGGTTTCAGTACATACTCGCACGGCTTTGGGAGCCATCGTGACGTCTCGGTCCAACGCGTTCGCTCCTTGCGCATGCGAGCAGGAGGAAGCAAAAGGAGGAGGAGGAAGCAGCAGCCAGAGAGGAGGCCAAGAACGCGAAGGAAAGACGGGCGAAAATGGTCCTAGAGGTGACGTTTGCGAAAACACTTCGCCCACACAGAAGTCACCTTCGCCATAGCCACGAGCTGTCCGACTGGACCCAGTACATTAGCCCTGGCTCGAGGCGGCCATGCTAGACCTGATGCTGTCTGCCCAAATGTCTCTTGTCTGGACTGGATTGGCACCTGTTCTTCGCCCCTCCCGAAAAATGAAAAGTATTTCATTTTTAACAGAAACCAAAGCACATGGACACAAGCAGGAGAGTTGCGAGAACCACAACAGTGATTCAATGAACGGGAACGGAACAGTTCTGTCTAGTACTTTTCAAAGATTTCTACGCTTGCAGTGCAGTTGAGCAACAGCGTCTACCGAGTCAATAGCAGAATTCCCCAAACGACAACAAGGGATGGATTGGCGTGAAGCTCCTGTGCTGAATCGACAGTCGCCCATTAAAACGAGATCCAACGTGACACCCGTGCAAAGCTTGCACTCGCTGGTGGGCCGGCCTGATACCATGTGCACCTGCGGCGGGCATCCATCTCGCGCAGGTTCTTGCCCGTAGCGAGCACATCTTCCGGTGCAACGCGGAAAGAAGAAGAAGAAGATCGTTGGGAAACGGCATAGGAAAACGGGCGCTGGAGAACGTGGCTACCAAAGATGGCGAAGAAGGGCGGGCAGCGACAGCACCGACAAGTGAGGAACGGGCTTACACGAGCCCCGACTATGGCGGCCGGCAGCCAGCCAAGGTTATGGCTGCCTCCGCCGTTGCCGCTGGCAACGACAAAATCAACAGCCGCGAGAACGATGCCACCACTAGTACCCAGGGGGACAACAGCAGCAAGCCCAACCTGAAAAACCAATCGGCAAATATCCGAGGGGGAAATTCGTCATCGTCATCCCCGGAGTCCGATCACTACACCGACAAATACGAAAGTGCGGCTGGACACGGTCCCTCTGCCGGAGGAGCAAGGCCGGTGGAAAAAGAGGCAGCGAAAATAGAGCAAAGGGAAAGCGGGAGATTCATGGCGGCCAAGCGCGTAGCAGCCAGGAAACGACTAGAGAGGGCAGAGGAGGAAGCACGGAAACAGGTACGCCAAGCTCTGAGCACGCGCCTCCGTAGTTCCAAAGGGAAGGAAGGGTGTGTTGCATGGACTTGGCCCTAGAGGCATGCCCTGGTGAACCTCGGCGGGAACACTTTTTTTGTGTCTGTATCAAGCCTTGTCGCCAAGGTAGCACAGCCGCATCAGGAGGCGTCAGCACGAAAACGTGCCGTAGTCGTTAAACCATTGACATCGCATCCCTACCAAGCCGGGACGGAGCACGCCAGGTTCCCACCGGACCAGGCTCTCACATCACCAAGCGGGAAGCGCCGTGATGCGGGGGGTGTACTCGTGATGCGGGGGGGGGGGGCATTGAGCGGTTGTCTCCGGTTGTGTGCGCATGAGATGATTCAGCTGACAGAAAGCTCTGGGAACACCTACCTATCTCAGGCCGTGTTAAAGGTTCGTGGACAATAGTTTGATACGTTAAGATTCCTGGGAAAAGAAAGCAGAATGGTGAGTTCGTTGACTGTCAAACATGCGAAAATAGAAACAAAAACTTTGAGCTCTATTACCAATTCAGGGTTGTCGGTTGTCACCCTATTCATCGGCACTCCGCTCACTTGCCACTTCGCTCACACGGGCGCAGGAGGAGGCGTCAAAGCTCGAAGCAAGACGGGCTTTCGAGGAAAGCCTTCGAACAAACTTCCCGAAATGGTCGTATTCCTCGATGAAAAAAGGTGGCGGGGTCGCGAAAAGCGACGGAACCTCCAGGAGAAGGAGGTATTGCTACTGTACCTGTGTTTGGCACAGTTCTTCGACAAGAATCTGCCGACATGGTAAACATTCACCCCTGTTGTGATTTCCTCATACGAGTTCTCGATGGTGCCCAGGGCCTCCTCTCAACCCGATCGACATAGTGCGGCACCTGGCAGATATAGGCACGCTTTCTGATGCCGAAAGGCAGACAAAACAGTATTACCTACGAAACAGCAATAAGTTCGTAAATGTTCGTTGGTTGTTCCGCGCAGGGCGTCGGCTCCGGCTTCCAATGGCATCTCCTCTACCCGGCCCTCCAGTCTGTCCTTGGGCTCAATCGACGAATCAGCAACCCCTCTTGGGGTGTCCGCTCCTCCTGCAGCAGGCACCAGCGGCAGCAACAGGGACGTTTTGGTGCGGGTGCGGGTGCCGGTAGCCGCTAAGGAGGACACGACAGCAACGACGGGATCAACAACGCTAGCACCGAGCGGGGGCGGTACCCCGCTGCCCGACACACAGGTAGTTGTGTGTGCGTGCTGGTGGTGGGTGGTCGTGATGTGCTGGCTGTGTGTCACTATGTAGAGAGGGATAGGCGTTTCCGCCCGAACCTTCCTCAACTCCACCCCCTTAGACAGAAGCACCCATGACCCGCCGGCGGGACTAGCGTTCAGCATGGACATTTTGCTGCTTCTGAATCGCTCACTCCTACAGGTACCTGATGACGACGGCAACGACCTCTTCAACGGGATGGTTCCTGAGCCATTGCCACAAACTTCGTCGGGGAATACTGTCAAGGGCGTCAACGCCTCCGGCGCCGCCGCCGCCGCCGCCGAAAAAGCTAGGGAACGACAACGGGACCGGCGTCGAAGGCATCGGCGAAAGGAGAGGGAAGAAGAAGCAAAGTCGTCGAGCCTGCTGGAGGAGCTTGAAAGAGAGGCCCATGGCTCCATCGTGGCTTTCAAGGGTGAGCGGCGTAGCTGGGTGCACATACGGACGTTGCTGTCATGTCTCCGGGTCTGTTCCACACCCCCCCTCCGTCTGTTGCTTTGGCTTTTTGGGGGGGTTGGTCCAGAGCTCTACACCGTGTGCCGTATCCCCGGGACAAGTGTGCTACGGCGGAGAGCAGCGGCGCTTCATACATACCCCTTAGATACGCCCCACCACAGAAGTTTCACTCCGCGTTGCCGCAACAACACGCAATGCCCCTTCAAGCCCAGTACATGAATGTCTCTCTCGTTCCTCCTTTCCCGTCCATTATCCAACCAGGGTGGAAACATCGTGACGTGTTCGACCGGCGACGGTCGACCTTTCAGCAGGAGATGGACAAAGCTGATGGCGTGGCGAGAGAGGGCGCGGGGTTGAGCACGTCTGCGTCGTCCTTGGCGAAGCGCCGTCTCAAGACCACGGCAGCACCGATGACAGCGAGAACAGCAACAGCGTCCGTAACAATCGCGGGCGGCAGAGGTGTCGCCCGTGCAAGTGCTAATGGTGCACTGCCTTCGGCGACGCATCAACAGGGATTGCCGAGCTCGTCTGTCCGTCGTCAACACAACCGCCACGGGCAGCAGCAGCAGCAACAGCAACATCAGGGTGAAGGTGCGTGCTTGGTGCCTCACTTTTTGCGGGTCGCCACGTCGCGAGAACGATTGGCGCAACTCAGAAATTGTTTTCAAGTCGCTGTGTCCAACATTCGGTTTGCTGCGCCCGCAGCACAAGGTGTACGGCTGAATCGACCCACCCCCCGACCCTCCCCACGGACTCCCCACTGTCGCCTGTGTCGCTCCCTTCCCTTCGCATAGAGGACGCTGTGCGTATTGCCGACGTCGATTTCCCCGGGGCCGACCAAGACCCGTTCGTGGCCGAGGCAGGCGGTCAAGCGGGACAACCGAAACGCTCGGTGGAACGTTCCGAAGACCGAGCAGGTAGAAGACCGCATCTAGGACTCCGGGAGAGACAAAGACGACGCCGGAAAAGGCAAAGGTCGCGTAAGCAGCCGCGGCAGCGGCAGCATCACCTTCGACGCTGGGACTCCCTTAGCAGCCAACAGGGCAACAGCAGCAACGAAGACACCGGCGACGGCGTGGGGGCGAGAACCAGCCCAATGGATGATTCGGACGTTCAGGACCCGCAAGAGTCTGTCGAGAAAACGAGCCACGTCGACGCATTCCACGTAAACGACACGAGAAATCGACTGATGGTCCCGATCGACGTGATCGATGAGACTGCGCAGATAGTATTATCGGAATCCGAGCGAGAAGGGCCGGCCGGGAGGCCGGCGACGCAGAAGGTTACGTCTGAACCCCTCGCCAGGAATCCCGCCAGAAGAGAACCCGGAACGTCCCAGAAAAGAAGCACCGCTCGAAGGAGATATAACAGCGTTGGACGAAGAACGGAAGAGTACGGAACAATCCCATGGCGGGAGGGGGGGGTCGAAACAGTACAAGCATCAGGGGGAGGTCGAGAAGGAGGAGCGGGGATCATAGGTAACGGGTCCGAGTCACGGGCTTCCGCTGCGTTGGAGAGCCGATTTAGGCGAAGCAGGAGGAGGAAGAGTCAAGAAAACATGGGCGTTCAGCTGCGCGCGGTCGAAGAGAACGTGACGTGATCTCAATTCGAACGGTAGGTACGCACGGGTTGACGTTATCTTTCGTCAATACCCATCTCTTCCTCGCGCTACTTAGGCATTGTGTAGACTGTAAGATCCAAGGGCCCCGAGGACACTGTAGTACCATACACGTACACTACATGGGGAAAATACGAGGGATTTGACAGCGATCCGCCGCACACATCAGTTTACGCATGTGCTTGTTGCGATTCGTTTCGTTCAGGACTACGAGAAGGGAATTGACGGCGGCACGGAGGCCGTCGCAGCGTCCGACGCTACACCGACCGCCGCAAACATTTTCGAGGAGCTAGCGTTGATAAGAAGAGACGAGGGTGCCCCTCAAGCGCAAGGTCACCTGGACAGCTTAGTCGATTGCAGCGGAGATGGTGATGACGACGAGGACGCTGATATGCGCGCGAAAGACCTACATGCCAGCATGCATCGCACGCTAGAGGGGGGGCTGGGGGCGTTGGGGGTCCAGACGAGGGGACAAGAAAGCAATGCCTCGTGTGACGACCACACGCCAGAGCACAAAGCTAGAGACGCTGATAGCTCTACGACGGTGTTCTGCGACGTTTTGCACAGCGTAGAAGAGTTGGAATAGAAAGGAAACGAAGTTGACGGTCACCCGAGGCTGTTGTGAACCACCAGCCTCGCAGCATGGCGAGTCGGGGCGGCGGAAAACTGTAGCACCGAATCCTCGTACCAAATAATAGCATGCGGGGCAGAACAGCGACTCAAACAAGCAGGGCCCGTCAGCATCCCTAATCAGGGAAGAGGGTAGCTGTAGTTGATGAAGTCCAGCAGACACGCGTAGCAAGTGACGTAGAGCGCCCCAGCAGTACCCCAGTGTCAAAGCCCGGAATTGTGCCGTGCAAACGTGTACCTGGTAGCGAGGACGCAGGAGAAGAACAACTTCGAAAGACAGAGAGGAGCGCCAACAACCGCCATTATCAGCCAAGGGATGAAGGTACGATGTAGAGACGACCCACAGAGAGCACAGCTTGACAGCTGACATGCATATTGTCTTGACGAACAACGTCCCCAAGGATAAGTAATACCCGTTGTAGGAATGAGGACGCGCGGAGCTGAATCCTTTGGGATTTCAGGCGTTACGTTGGAGACATGGAAATGGATGAGGCAGGAGCCTTCCAGGCGCACTCAGAGTTGACATGTGTACAGCCAATCGCTATAGAAACGTTGCTCTTAGTTCACTGCGTTGTCATCTGTAATTCGGGATTTCGACCCATCCTGCATATTTATCGGCGTGTTTGCCATGCCATTGCCGTTGTTGGCGGCAGACGCCCTGCCGGGAGCATTCTGCCATTCCCTCTCTCCCCTGTCTTCCATACCCTAGCTCACATTGTCAAGGTCATTGGTTGGACACGTGCTATTTTCGTGGCTCCGGGCGCCGACGTAGTCCTTTCAACCACCACATCTACATGCGTCCAACCATATCATACGAATGAAGTGGACGTGTCATTGCATCAATTCGCACTGGTTTTCGTCTTTTCATTCCATGTCTCGTGCACTTCCGGTTCTCATGGTACCATAAGCTACACGCTTCACGGAGCAACACCGATCGTGGGCAACAAGACGGAATTTCAGATCTTTCGCGGGACAAGAAGAAATCGTACACAATTCGGCAAATTCTCCAACAGTATGGAAAGCTTCAGCGAGGAAAGAAACACATTCGACTGCGTCGATCCCGCGGTAAGTGAGTTTCCGAGGAACCATTCACACACCAACCGCCACGGGTATGCCTCAGCACAACTACCCCTCTCTACGGCAATGCTCGTGCGTAGACGCTAAGCTCGTTTCTGAACAACAAACTCGACAAAGCGCGTCGTCTAAGCCGGCGTCGGAAAGCGCCGACAGACCGCCAAAACAGCACTCAACAGTGAAAGTTCTCCCATCATCCCGTACTTTTTCTAGGCAAAGCTTGTCGCCAAAGCAACTAGCCAACTACCGAGGTGACCAAACAACCATGCTGGCGAGGTGTGGCATTGTAGGACATAACGACTATCCCCGGAGGGGTGGTACGCCATCTGCTCACGACATGAACATTTGCTCAAGCTATGTAGTGGCCTGCACCAACCATGGAGACCCCACTAAATCCTAACGAACATACTTACAACTTCTCAGGACGTGCTTTTGGTTGAACCAAAGAAAGTGAAAACGACACGCTTGTCTGGACAAGCACTTCTTTGTGTGAAGAGCTAAGCACGGCGACATAGTCGTGGCGCCAATTCGACCAAGACGAAGGTATTCTACCACGCTGAAGTGAAAAAAACAGAAGAACAGCTTGACAACACTCAAAACTCGGGTGCCACACAAAGCAGTCGTCGAGTCACCCCTCGTTTCGTCACAGAGGTTCACGGGCCATCCCATCCCATCCCATCCCATCCCATTCCACTTTCGCATTGGCCTGCTAGAGCCCAGCCTGTCGGTACCACTGCTTTCCAGGGCAACTGTCTATCCATGAATCAAAGCACAAGCCCCCAGCTCTACGTTTTTTATTCGCACAATCGCACACGCACGGCGCACCTCCGGCAGAACCCTCCGTCTCTAATCTCTAAAGCCCGCCAGGCTCAATAATACTCTAACCACGTCCACGGTAGCCTGTTGAGATCTACTCCCGATCGTTACACAGCACATGAAACCCCAACAGGCTCGAAGGACTTCCCCTACTCGTCGCTTTTCTCGCCGTCCTTCTTCTCGCCATCGTCCTCCTCGGCGCGAGTGCTCTCCCTGTTCATCTTCCCGAGAATGGGCAACGACTCCGGCATTACCCCGATGGCGGACGAAGCTATCGAGTACAGCACGCAGGCCACCACCGTAACGAAGATGACGTCGCTGCAGACGGTCGCGAGGGGTGCGAGTTTCGCCGAGTCCTCGCCAAGGACGGACGTGATGATGAAGGCGAATATGGACGGGAAGAACATGGCGATGTCGATGATGACCGCTTGCCGGAGGTTGAACCGCACCAGCTTGTTCACCTGCGTTCGAAAATTCATCGGTTGTGGTGCGTTGATGAACGGTACTTTCCGTTTCTAGCCCGACCAACACAATCAACTTGGGGGATAAACTGACAAAAAATGGGGGGGGGGGGGGGGGGGGGG